TTTAAATACGACTTTTGTTTTTAAAAAATACAATAAGGAAATAATTACATTCTTAATATGAAAACATTTTACAACTTAGAGCCATGGTCAATTGGTGCTGAGTACCTGTAATTTAAAAGCTGATGTTGAAATTTAAAGGTAATGTTCCCTTTCTCGTTAGAAAATCAAAGAGTATCTTATTAAAAACACCTTTGGTCCCTAAGAATGAGGGTCTGATGATCCCACCTGGAAAACTTCTTCCATGGCAACAACTGGAAACGCCTGGTGACACTTGTAACAACACCGTGAAGTTAAGCTTTCCTGGAAGAACGCAACTGGAAATATTTCACGAAAGATGGCAAAAAGGACGCGCGTGAAGCCGACAGTTCTCTGGGCGGGGCGCTTTCCCACCTTGAGAAATGATAGGCTGCCCGCTGCGCCGGGGCGGAGGCATGAGAGTGTTACTTCACCAGCTGGAGTTTATTTCACAGTATCAGCGCGGCCCGGCGTGGGGAGAAGACAGTACTGGCGACAGCAGAATCCCCCCTTTAAAACCAGGCCAGGAGCGGAGATTATTGTTCTCATTAAACGATTATTTTAGGGAACTAAAAGAGGAAGGCAACAGTTTAACATGCAAGTGTTGCCGTGACCGTTTTATGAGCCGAGGAGGGCGCTGCCTGCTGCACCCGCAGGGCAGCCCCCGCCGCCGGCGGTGCAGGGACGGGCAGGGGTGCAGACGCCGTGTCCACACCACCTCCCTGGCGGGAGAGGCCCCGCCCGAGCGCCACCCCTGTGCCCAGCCTGGGAAGGTTCCTGACAGACGGGACGAGGTGAATAAACAGAACAGCGCCTGGTGAACTAGGTCCGTGGGCAAAATTCACGTGTCCTTCCCAACAGCGTGCTGGCAGGTGTTCTGGAAAGATGGGACCACAGCAAATGAGCTTCCCCAAAACCTACGCCCACCCCAGCGCCAAGCTGCCCCCTGGACACCTGCACCTAAACTGCAAATTGTTGCCACGATTAACAAGAATCTAAAACTCCTTCCTTGGGGAGTGGGGGGCCTCCAGGGCCCAGGACACACACTTTTTGAGACAGACTGTCCAAAAGGCAGCACACCTGCAGCCTATCAGAGTGATCCTGGGTGCCTAGAAACAGCTCAAAGCTACTCACAGATGCGCGGGAGGAGGGAGGTGGATGTCAGGCTGGACCGCACCAAGGTGTCTGAACCGAGGGGACAAGACTGCTTTTGCACGTGTGGTCCCCGAAGCGCTCGGGAAAGCATCTGGGGCCACCGCAGACCCTCCCTGTGCCCCCCGCCCCGAGGGCCATCCTGAGGCTGGGGGAGCGGGCAGGGTGCTGCTGGCTCCCTGGACACCCACAGTCGGGCCCGCCTGACCCTCCTTGGGCGGACTCCACCTGGCCCACATCAGGGGTGACAGGGCGCCCTCAGACCATCACTATTTCTGTGCAAGAGGTTGGTTCATGGAAGAAAAATATCGTAAAAATATAAAAACAGAGGGGATTTTGAAGGTTGATACCACCTCACCGAAACCGAGCCGGAAGCAGAACCCTGAGGCTGACGGTGGCTCCGGTTCTAAGAGAAGGGCCGGGTGACCCACAGCGGGTGGCGGCCTCACGCCTGCCCCCGTCTGGCCACCGCGTGCCTCCTGCCTCCAGTCAGGATCCTGCTAGTCCCGCCAGCACTCTGTGACCATGACAGCTGTCAGGAGCGGGTGACAGCTCTTGAGGAATCTGACTTCTCCCAGCGGAATGGGACCTGCACCCCAGGAGCAAGGGCCGAGGTCAGGCTGCCCCCCGACCCTGCCCTGAGCCTGGCTGTCACAGCTGTCTCATGGCCTCCATGTCCCTGGGGCGTATTTTGAGAGGGTAATGAGATCTCTGTCAGAGTTCTGACAAGGTGTCCACGGTGTGTCTAGTATGTACAGACATAAATTAAAAACTATACTTATTGAACATATACAAATAAATAACTTATTTTGAAGCAAATGCTTTAAACTAACTTTCTTATCAAATGTAAAAACATCAAGAGGAAACACGGTATCAAAGGAGCCGGACGTCGGCGGCCTCGCCTTCCACGGGGCCTGTTGTAAGTGGCTCCGCGGAACGCAGCGGGGTTGAGTGCACCATCCTCTTTAAAAGGCTTATAGTTATGAAAAGTCAATTTAAAAAGCTGTTTTTTAAAAACACAAACTATGTATGCCAGGTGTCTGAAGAGCAGGGTCCAAACCTTGGCTCTGGCACAAATGGTGTGACCCATGGAGATGGTGGAGGTGACCTCCGCTAACGGTCCCCCTGCCAGTGACTGCCCACCTGGGCTGGGCTCAGCTCGTGAACACACAACGCTCACGTCTTCCCTTAATAACCGTCGAAATCTGGCCCTCGTCTGGGGCAGAGCTGGCTGCCAATCAGGACGGCCGCAGAGGTTTAACTGGAGACTGTTAATTTGACCGGAAGGCAGCAAGAAGCTATGGTAGGTCAAACATTTTCCCTTTACGGAAAATTAGCTTCATATGATGCCAAGTGGTCCAGCTTCCTGCGCTGATGGACGAACAGGAGTGCCGGCAAGATGGCCCTGGGCTTGGGGAGGCCCCTCCCTCCCCACTTCCTACCTGGATTAACTGGGGATGGCGGGGGAGGGGCAACTGTGTTCGTGCTGGTGAGGTGCCCTCCACCTGCCACACAAACTGCGGAGGGCCGGGAAGGGTGAGGGCACCAGCTGACGGCCTACAAGCTGGAGATGCG